GTCATTATATTTATTGTAGGACCCTGCAAAAATGATAGCAAATCAAATAAGTGCTTACACCCATAACTGGTATTTCAAAAAGCTCATGGCTCCCTTTTCCTTTAAATTCTGAAACAAACAAAAATTATTACTTACCCTTACTTCCAAGCATAAAGTTTTCATTCTACATGAAATCTGTATTTTAATATATTTTTTTATTCCATTGAATATACTTTCTAACATCAGTAAAACTTGTACAAGTAAAAAAAGCCATACCTGTGCTAAGCTCTCCACCTGGAGCAGCTCTCAAAATGAGAGCACTTTCTGCCAGTGACAAAGAGACATAACTGTCTTGATTCCTTGTCGTTGTATAGAAAATGAGACCATCTGGCTGATCTGTCTTGAATTTGAAGGTGAGCTGTAGGCCGGTTCCATCAGGACTAGTGTGCTTCACATAGCCTGGAGCCATCTTTTCAAAGGATACTATGCTGGCCACCTGAAATTGTTCATCAAATCATGTACACTTTATTTTGCTGTGCCACAGTGTACTTCAGGTGTCACTAGATGGAAAGCAAAGCATCAGCAGAACTTTGCAGCATCAATTAATTCATATGTAATAAAAAAGAAAAAAAATATTTTAAAAAAGACAATTTAAGAGAACATATAATGTTACTAATAATACTGGGAACTTCATTCTTATGCTATACAATTATCAAAATAATGCTATTACCAGTAATAGTTACCTTAACTGGGCATCCAGGTGCTGTACTCAATGTTTCTGTACTCTTAGAAAGGTCTACAGCTACAGAAGACATGACTATATGATCGATACACCCATCAAAATCATCATTTGTCGTATCTATAAATTCATGTTCACCAGGCAATCCTCCAAAGTACATTCTCTGTGGGACTTCTGTGAAAAGCCTTGCACTGCCTGGGGATTCTCCTTGGACTCCCTTTCCATCAACCTGAAAAAAAAAAAAAAAATAATGAAATATAGTAAGATGTTTATCATATGTCAATGCAACTGAATTTAGCCTCATTGATCAATACCAAAATTTGATGATGATAATACTGTCTCTGACCTTCATGATGCCTCTATTCTGTTCTCTTGCAACTTCCACATGGTGCCACTCTCCATCCTGATAGGTCTCCTCTGACCTCATTGTGGCCACTCCTGTTCCAAGGTTGAATTGGAACAGCACATGGCCTTCTTCCATGGTAACAGCTATGTACTGATTCTGAAAATGTCAGATAAACATTATTAACCCTACGGTGATGGTGCCTGATTTATTTGTGATGTAATATTATGCAACAGTCTAGACTTTGTGGCTAGGCCTAAACTCGGTACAGCCGGCCCATCCGCTGCGAGTCACGACTTATTTACATGTCGTGGGCAGTTACATCATGACACCTACAGCCATCACTGTCACCGATGGAATGATAATAGTATTAGTGATTATTCTAACAAACATAAAGACTGTACCATTAAAGCTATTATTGTAATCATGACATGATTGCTATGCAATTGTGTATATTTCTCTCTTAAATTTAATATAGCATTTTTTAATTGTTATTTTGATACATTTACATGTTGGACGAATTTCTAACTTTTTCATTCACATTCACAATGTTAGTCCATTATACATTATACGTACTTCAGCACCAGTAATGAAGAAGAGGATGCCATCTTCTGCATATGTCTTAAAGTCAAGCTGCAGATCAAACTTCTTCTTGAATCTGTAGCCATTGCGTGTGTCCATGGCTGCATATCCATTACCATCAAATCTTAGTCCAGTTGGAGGAACTAAGTCTACAAGACGATCTCTGAAAAAAACAAACAAAATAAATTGTTTTCTGGAATATTCTTCCCATCATATTTTCTTAACAAAATGTTGAATTTTCACAAAGAAACAAAAACTAACTAAGCACATAATACTCTAATAAGCCATGGAAACAGAAAAATGAAGAATAAATCTTAGTGTAAGACACCTCACAGACTCCTATGTACCTTTCCAGAGCACCATGTTGTTGAACGTTGTTGGTGCCATTAGACATGAAGTTCCACAAACCAATAGGACGATCACTGAGCCTGAAGTCTTCCACATGGCCATAGAAAGAAGTGCTACGTATGGCCTGGTCAACCTGAACTCCAGGTGGAATTCCACCAATGAATATCTTTGACACACCCGGATCAAGGTTGAAGACAGAGAAAGTACCAGGTAACTCATTTTCTACAGATGCAATTGCCTCATTCTTGTCCTCATCTTCATAAACTATGCTTAGTTTCACAAGCTTACCCGTTCTGGAATTAGGAATTAGTTGCAAGTTTAAGCTTTAATGAGCCCCTTTCTAATTTTTTTTCGACCAGTTTCTTTTCATATTGCCCTTCCTCCAAATATACACAAATTTCTTACAGGAAATTGTAAGTATTATAAAGAAAAAATGAAATCATTCATAACCAACTTTCCAAGGCACAATAACCACACCTGTCAACCCTAATTTCTCTCCAAATGCCATC